GCGATCATCATTTTATCTTTGTCAACTATCATCGAGTGATACGACCGGTAAACCGAAACTGGAACTGGTACCCGAGAGTACTGCCTTCGGTGATGTGTTTTTACCACGATTATCCGGGGATCGAACCAACACAGACCACGATTCAGTCTACCTTCTAGTGGGTCATGGACAAGATACAAACCTACTGTTCAAAGCTACACTGAATCCGGCTCGAATCATCACATGCCGATTGGAGACACGTCCTTTGGTTGATTGTCCTGTGATACCTCGTATTAAAGCCGTTAATTTTTCAGTTGAACATTCGGAATTCAATTGGTTTGTAACCAAGGTAAGTTGATGGTGGTTGAGATCTCCGGGCTAATATTGCTCTGCAATTTCGGCATGGCTTTCTGCTTCGCCTTTTTTACGCTTCACAGGAGTTTGACATGACACACGCGTCACCCACTTCTACTCTGAGTGATATAGCCTAATTTGTCTCATCAAGCGGAACCTTCTCAAACCGAAATTGAAATAGTGATGGGCTAATTCTGAATCTCACTATTACTGTTTACTAAACGAATCCCGGTAGATGTTAATATAAAAGTTATCAATCCGTGATTTGCTTATGAGGGAAATGCCGAAGGTGGATTTAATTTGGGTGAGGTTCGAAATTTGAAATTCAGACAGGGTCACTGCCCGATTTATCGGATCATACGCTCGTCAGACGAAATCGTCATTTCGATTAAACTTCGTCGTAGAAAGAACTAGAGAATGCACTAAGTGATCTCTAGTGCTCTCCAAAATGTTGATATTGAATGGGTATCTGGAGAAAAGTTGTGAGTTTTCGAGTACGCTGACGACATCGTTTGTTTGTTTGAATGTACGGAGGATGCGCAGAATTTCAAGTTCGCTAACTCCATTTAGTATTTGCAACTTCAAAATGCAAAATGATGCTACAATGTTGGATGTTGTCTAGCCCGGCTTTGATGCTTGATGGTCGAGAATTAATTATGGTGATTGTTTCTCCTACCGAGATATTTGCGTGACAACTGACGGTAGCGTAGTCGAGACAGTTACCACCCGCATTTCCTGGGAGCGAACAGCGTACGCAGGACTGAAACACCTATTGTTGGACGGGGCGAGCATGTAAGCAACTCGGAGGTGAGCCGTCTCGTATATGGTAATGATTCAATGGAAAATTCATTGTCACGTAGACGTTAGATGAGTAGACTTCACTGGTTAGAACACGTATTGCACATTTCCAGGTGTCGTCTACCGCAGCGTACCTTATTCGTAGTCTGGACTTTAGGTTGGAGGAAACCACGTGGAGGTCAACAGATGACGTAGAAACTAGACAATTAGAAAAGCACAGAGCTAATAGTTAGAGTTAGTGTCTCGCGCCTTCCAAGTTGGGGTCCGAAGACATTGAAGGATATGGTAACTAACCGACGGCACTGGCACTGGCACTGGCATTGTTATTGTTATTTCTTATTGGGTCAGAATGCTTGAAAAGGTATGTATGCTCAGTTAGGTTGTGCACTCTCTGTTGACCATAGAGTTTCACTATCTTTGCCTCTCGCGAACTCGACCCACTCTTTGTCCATCTTATAAATGCTCATTTTGTGTACTGTATTTCGCTGTACGATTATGCTGATGTTGACTTTCTTTTTTTGAGTGCCCCCGCTCACAGCTGTCTGGAGAGTCAAGTAACGTACAATGACCACATCGAGTGACCAACCATATATAAACAAATGTTGCATTGGTGAATTCTACTGGAAGCTTGCTTGTCCGATGAGATTCACCAATAACATTGAGCATCCACAATCGGTTGTCTCGTTCAGATCCAACTCTTCTCTGTTTTCTGTTGCTTACACCACGGCTTTTTATTCCACTCGACGAATCCGAAATACTGCGGCTGGTCCCTTGGAAAGGATAAGCCGGCTCCAAACCTGATCATAATCATGAGCATGAAGTTCTTTGTTAGTTTGGTACAAGAAACGTTCCCAGCGTCACTCGGCGTTTTTTTATTTTGAGGGCGCACATCTAGCCTTTGCACAACCAATTGCGGACTGCAGGGCAGTATAAAGTAATCCCTCGCCTCGGAAGTGAGAGGGTCAATTGCTTTAGTTTCAAAGGCCAGTCAAATCGACCTTTGTCACGACACCATCATTGGGCTTCTGTCGCTTTTTAATAGAAGCCAGATGACCAGCCTGAAACCCACCACACCCTGATAGTGCCGCCGCTGTTTGTTCAGGACTGCTTATTTGTTGCGGTATTCCACAACTTATTCACAGCTAACCTTCTTCGGTAAAGGTATCCTATCCACAACCCGGGGACGCGCCTGGTAGCATTGGGCTCTGCTCAACAGAGCATCCACAATCGGTTGTCTCGTTCAGATCCAACTCTTATCTGTCTGCTGTTGCTCACACCATGGCTTTTTATTCCACTCTACGAATCTGAAATGGACCTGACAGTATTCAACTAAGCTGTGCGTTACCAGACTGTGGCGGCAACGGGCCTTCTACGTTTATATTTGCTTTCATTCATCTTATTAGATAAATGCAATTTAAACTGTTTATGCTATATATACCCACTTAAGGATAATTAGTCATCTCAACCGCCAGGTCTGAACTGACAAACCACTGCATCCTAAAGATTCAAGGCAATGATCCATTAATTAGTCTGCAGGCAGCTGATTTACTGTCCCCACACAACCCATCCTACTTGATTGATTGATTTGTCTCTTATTCTGTCACTAGTTGTGTACTTTAATCGGATTAGTTCAGTTTACACAGTAACCCTGATCTTTCGGGCACCAGTTTCGGATGTTGTCTCTGGGCTGTGCATTTACTTCAACAAGGATGAATTAGAAGAAGAAAAAAAATAAAAGCTGGATACAATATCAAAATAAAGATACAAATCGTAGGTAAGTTAAATGTGTGCAAAAAGTTGATAAATGCACGGGCGCCACCTTTTACTACATTCACTCATATCAGTCAGTGTCTTCAACCGTCGATCAAGTTGTTCCCTATTTCCTTGACTTGGAAACCTAACACAACCTAGATAACGTTACGGTTTTTCTCCCCAAACTGTTTTTTGTCAAAGGGTGTTTGATTAGGGAAATAGACCATCAGTCAGGGTCATATCTTATCTGTTCAAAACCATCTTTACCGGACAGAATCCTTATTCCATCAGTTACCCCTGCTTCCCGATGACCAATGACTGATCAGCACTGATTTTTTTTTCTAGAAAATTGTTCCCTTCTGGTAGACCGTCGTTTGGCCTTTCAAAATGGTCCATGAATCCATTTTTTCATTTGCTAACACAGCGAGTGATAGTTATAACGTATTCTAAATGATTCGTCATGAAATCAGCCTGTGTTTTGGTTATTTCTGTCTAGCCATATCCGTGAACCTAATCGGGCTGCCTGTGTGTGTTTGTTTGTGCGCGTGCGTGCGTGCGTTCATGTGAGAAAGGCAAAATTGTGCCCCTCAGTCAATCTGGTAAATGATTTGCTTTCGTGGTCACACTTCGCTGTGATCGATAAGTGTAGATTTGTCAAACAATCACAGTTTGTATCGCTCGCAAACGGTTTTCTAATCTCGGGAAATGTTAACTATAAAAATACAAAATACATACTTCTGGATGTGTTGGCTTATCATTTACCTAGTCATCGCTTGTTTCTTGGGCTAGTCCCTTAAACCAGTTCACTTGGGAAACTAACAGGAACAGTACCACTGTCGTATTGTTCCTGTGAGATATCCAAATTCGCTCCGAGGTCAGAAGACGTGGTCGGAGTCAGACAAACAACTTTGTTTTTCTGACCTATATCTTCTATTCCTTCCATAGTCAGCAGCGAGGCAGCCTTTCAATGCAATATATATGGTGAATAGTGAAGAGCAGTCGTGATTGTGGTGACCAGACTAGCGCTTGGCCTGAAGCAATGACGGTCACGTCAGTCGTGTCGGGCTTTCCCGTTGGACACGTCTGAATCATCCTAGTTGATGGGCGTTCGGGGCATGAAGGAATGTGACCTAGTATTGCGAACCGTGTCGCTCGTGTGCCTACTCATTCTTTGCGCAAACCTAGTCTGCCCACAGCTTACGTCTGTATTTTGGCAACACTATCGCTCAATTTTACTTCTTTCATCGACTGGCCAGATAGGAACCAAAGCCGGAGCACGGAAGGGCAAGATTATTGCTTGTTCGAAACTGAACCAAACTGTGTTATCATTTTTTCAATGCGCTTCACCCGTAATGTGATTTGCTGATGGTTGGGGGGGGGGGNCTGGGTGATTGGCGTATTCTATTATATGATCCGTTGTCCTCTGACCTTGGTTGTTGACTGCCAATCATCAAATGAAAGAAAAACAGATTGGCAGGCTAACCACAAAAGCATTCCTTTATTGGTCGAGATAGCAACCCATTCTGTGCCACACGGATTAAAGGTGTACTATATGAATACCGAACTTGGCGGGGCGTCAACAACTGGCAGTATTTTTTCCTTCGTTCAACAGTCGTGATATCGTACATACTATAACTGGAAGTCTGCGTGACCCTATTTGCTCTTTTCTTCTGCTTCCTGTAAACGGTAGTCTTCTCACTGTCTATAGACACGATGCACTGAGTGATGACTTTTCTGGGAATTAGGTTATACATTGATTCCACAATCACAAAGAAAATAGCGTGCAGTACGCGACGCAAAAGGGAACCCCACATGGTTCATGTGTGCATTCACGTGATTATGGTCGCAAAAAATTGATTTTTGTCCGGGTAATTCGGCCGCAACTCTGCGTGTCAGGTTAAAGTGAATCCTTCCGTACTCTCTAACAACACGGGGTTCTTTTTTCCTGAACTTGACCACCTTTTCGCCTAGTTCAAACGGCGCGAGGACATACCAAAGGAACACGGAATTGAATCATCTTTACAGGCAACTATGCTTACATTTCAGTCGAAAAAATTGTTCACCGTTGTAGTGGGGTAAACTATGAAAAAGTCATACAACAATGATAAAACCTGAACAAAAGATCATTTTTGTGGGTTTAAAATTAGTTCATTAAAGATCCTCATCTTGTCAGTTAGACCACGAACCAGACAGAGTACCGTTGAATTGCATTAAATGTTTTTGCGAGAGGGTAAGTGGAGATAATTTGGATCGAGTTGCAGCGTGGGAACAACAAGCAGATAAATCAGGATTGAGCGAATGTCTGGGGTCATTGCGTATCTTATAGACGAACTTCTCACATGATGTAATATGAAAATCACACAAGTTTGTGATTAGAGTGTTTAATGAAATAGAAGAGACATGACTGGGAACTTGCGACCCGCCACGAAATCCCGTTTAGGTAGTTCAGGGAAAATAACGGGCGAACAATAAGGTATAATACGAAGAATTCATCGATGAACAAAAGAACATATAGTTGCATGCTTCACTCTTAATTTATTCGTAGCTTGCATATCTGGTATGATAAGCGATGCAGTCTACCAACACG